CTAACCCAACCGTCGCAATGTCGCATCTCTGTTTTCTAGGCCTCTAGATAGGATATAGGTGGAAAAATCTGTGATTTTATTTGGAGGGGGCTGGTATGCATTTGCAAACAGCCAATCACGATATTGGTCACTCGTGTTCAGTCGGATATAATCGGACGTCTCCGGATACACGGTCGGCCTGCCAAATATATTAAAAATTTTCGATAGGTTACGTACAAATTTTGTAACGAAATTTATAATAAAAGTAAAAGCAATTAGTGAAGTGAGTTATGGCGCTGTGTTTTTACAAAAAACACTCTGTTTTTATCCAATACTCAAATAAACAGCCGGGAGCTAGTTTCTTATATGGCTAAATGGAGTAAATTTAAAATAATTTAGTTGCAAAATTAAGATGGTACAACAAAATAAAATGAAAAATTGAATTATTTACATTTTTAACTTCAACTTTATTAAGGAAAAAATAAGGACCGAATGGGATTCGAACTTCCATATACATCGATAAAAAATCCGACGCTTTGTTCGATTGAGAAATGGAGCATCTTTGAACATTTGTGTAGTTATTGAATTTGCTCAGCTGATAGCAGAGGAGCTTTGTATGATTATTAATCAGTTAAAACAATTTTGTTTTGAACATTCTATTACTTAATTGAAAAAGCGTTGCCACAACTAACAAAACTTGTAACTATTAAAGTTTGCATAAACAAAACAATAAAATTCGACTTCTAACTGAATTTGTTTGAATAGATCACAAAACTAATTGACCACCATTAAACATTAATTAAAACGTATTTGCATAATAAATAATTGTAAGCTGTTTGTCTCTTAAGTTTGTTCTGATTTATTGTTGTTCCTTATTTCAGAGGCTACAAAATATTAATTACGATGAAATGTTTTTTATTATCATTTAGTTAAAGAATGATATTTAATGTTATTTCAAGAGAAAATGACGATTTCTTATCATTCAACTATGCTCCAGTGACGATGTAAAGTTCAAATGCGGTATTTGTACGTTTGAATCTCAACACCGCCGCGGGTTGACTCTGATTAGTTGTTTGCCAGATTTTACCAATTTTTCTCAAAATGGCGGTCACTCAACCGTCACACAATTTTATACAGGGAATGGTATCCTATATCCCATGGTGGAAATATACAAGGTGTGTTGTTGCGCATAATGGCGGCAAAGAGTGGGGGACATATGTAGTCAGCCAATCACTTATGACCCATTGTGCACACACGGAATTTAAATATTTACAGGAGATTATTAATAAGAACACAGTATTAGAAGTTAAAATAATAACAAAATATTCATAAAATGTATTAAAATATAAAAATATTACAAACTAATCCTTTATAATTGAAATAATAATAATAATAATAATAATAAAAGGAAGGAATATTTAATAAGACTCTATATATTAATCAAATAATAAAAATAATAAAATAATAATAAAAATAATAAAATAATAAAATTCTTCATTTCGTGAGTTATCTCCATATCTGACTTTATAAAGAATAAAACGTTGGCATTTTAATATAGAGTCAACACAAAGATAACCTGCGAAATAGAGAATTTTTAATATTGCATACTGTAACAATATTATATTATTGTACACAATATTATATTATTATACAATATTATATATGAAAAATATATACTTATTACATATTGTATCTACTAACTTCTATTATTATATTGCATATTATATTATATACATTACATATTCTGAACAAAACCTTCATATAATTCGTTTATTACTTACACAATAATTTTCTTCTTCTTTCTCTACACAATTATAGTCGTAATAACATACGCTATGCTCCAGTAACACAGCCATATTGGATTTATGCTAAATGGGTCATTTATGATTGGCTGTCTGCTCCCCACTACTTTTAGGCTACTGCGCATCCACGGGAACGACTCACCTTCTATATTTCCACCATGCTATATCCTATCCAGGGTTCATTCCACTTAACGTTCGCAACGATCGCGTGTATCATCTCATCCTTACTTAATATTCGATTACAAGAAGGACAAAATGATTCTCGCGAGCGTTGCGAACATTAAGTGGAACGTACACCCAGTGTATAATAGAGATCAGTGACATACATACAATACATACCATTCCCGAGGATGCGCAATGGTTCTGCTCTTCAACTAATCAGAGTTCACCCTCAAATGCTAAGAAGTGACGTGGCTTCTTCTATACATACAGCTGACTAGCTGTCAAACTATGTTGATAATGGTCGCGTTCAGCAGACTCAACTGCTGCGGAGCGGATCCGTGAACGCTTATTGCTATTGGATGATCTAAAAGAATATACCAATAGCAGTGAGCGCTCACAGATCCGCTCCGCAACAGTTGAGTCTGCTGAACGTGGTTGTGATCATTAGCCACGTTCAGCAGACTCAACAGTTGAGTGAGCGTTCGCTGTTATTGGTGTATTTTTTTAGATCATCCAATCAAATTTTAAATCTAGAAAAATACACTAATAACAGAGAGCGTTCACTCAACTGTTGAGTCTGCTGAACGTAGCTATTAAGGGTGTGTTCCAATATAGACTGCCAGTGCTGGCAGTACTGAAAAATCGTTCCATTATTAGTGCGCAGCGCACTGCGACAGTATCTAGTAATATCAAAACGTCATAAAAGGTAGCCATGTTGTCACTGCGACTACTGCAGCCATCGACATATAGTATGGACTACACACAGGCTGAAAGAATACGACCGGCCCGAAAGAAAGAGATAGCGACCGGTGTGGGTAGTGTAGAGACCCTCTAACAGAGACTGGCCATCAGGGGGCCACTTTTGATTGGTCCGCCATTTCCTAGCGATTCCCGCTCGTATTGAAATTTCAATTACTGCATTTACTTGGAATGTAAATAGTATGTAATGATAAATATTATAGAAATATTAAAACCATGCTTTTTACATCAATATAAATAATATACGTCAAATAAAAAAAAACATGTCAAGTTTTATCGTCAGTTATACAGGGTGTTTGAAATTAACCGCCAAATATTTCATGTGCGGATAGAACAGACTATACTGAGTCGAAAAGTCCTGTACCATTTTGCGATTGCAGTAATAGTTAACGAGATATTAATTTATAAAAATACTTAAATTCACCCGGCCCACCGTCAAATGAAACGCGCGGCTGGATAGGACCGCCCAGCTAAACGCGCCGCGCGTTCGCCGTTGCTAGGCGTTGTTTATAACAAGAGTTGTTTATAACAAGCGTTGTTTATAACAAGCGGCAATAGTCGTTGCTAGATATGAGTCGCGTGCCTAGCGACGGCGAACGCGAACGCGCGCGGCGCGCTTTGCAGGGCGGTCCTAGTGACCCTCTAATAAGAGTCTGGCCACCTTCTCCCCGGTTTGTGATTGGTCCGACATTTATCATCCATTCCCGCAAATTTCTTTAAACTTATAAATTGTAAAAATTAATAAATTCGTAAAAATTAAAGTAGAATTAATTACAATTTTTATTTTTATTATTATTTAACTTATATTAACATTATTAAATATTTTCTATAAAAACTTTTATGTAAAAAAAACGTTGCAATATGTCTTTCATAAAATAAAAACAACAATTAAGTAAGTATTATAAATAGATTGAAAATATAAAAATTAATATATTAAGAATATATAAAATTTATAAAAATATTACAAGATTAAGAAACTTTAATAAAAATTAAATTTAAATACAAATAATACAATTAATGCTTTAAAATTCTTAACAAAAAATACTTAGGTAGCACCAATAGGGAATAAATAAAGTAGTATATTTATGTAGAAAAAAATATTTCATGCATATTTCATATTATTTATGTATATTAGATATACAGTATTTATATTTAATAAAAATGTTTTTGTAATTATTATATTTAACATATATAACAAAAATGTAAACATATATTCCTTTAACGCATAATAAAAATAATATAAATAATAATATTAATCATAATAATATAATAATATTAATAATAATAATAATAATAATAATTAATAATAATAAATAATAATAATATAATAATAATAATATAATAATATAATAATATAATAATATAATATAATAATATAATAATATTAATCATAATGATTCTTCTTCTTCTTCGAATATTAATGGTCCTGGTCTTAAAAATGATACGATGCATGAGGCGAGACGAAACAGAAACAGAAACTATGAAGTTTGTAGAGCTACAATCAGCTACAACTTACAGCGCCACTAGAATGAGATAGCATGATTTTTTCTCTCTCGCACAATTTCGACGAATAATGGCGGACTTCACGTGTCCAGACTCTTATTAGAGGGTCACTAGTAAGATATAAGGAGACTCCACTCCGTAAAATAAAAGTGGACCCATTTTAGGTTTCGAGTTCAGCTTCCGATTCTGATGAGTGCGAGTAAGAGAAAAATGATCATTTCTCTTACTCGCACTCATTATGCGCAGCACTACTAAATTCACGAGCGCTGCGAGTGTCGAGAATCGGAAACGGAACTCGAAACCTAAAATGGGTTCATGTCTTGTAGACTGGCGAGACCGAGTGGAGTCTCCTTATATCTTCCTTCATGGTTGCAACCTTTCTGTGACCAACTGTATGTACTGCTAAAAAGAACAGCGAACATGATGTAATTTGCGTCAAAAAGACGCTTCAATGTACACTTCTTGAACTAGTGCAGCCAGTTCAGCGAAAAAGAACAAACCTCTTGTTTTCTTACATTATGGAGAGCACGCTCTTCTAGTCTCTCCGTGCAGTGCGTGCTCCGCAACCGGCACCGAAGACGGTCGATTTCGGCCGAATCGAGCCGAATTGTGTATTCACAGTACATTGCAGTATATTGGATTGGAGTTGATTGGAGTACGCTATGGCGGCTGTGGCAAGATATTGTTGGCCGTCTGCGTGCGAGAGTGAGTGATTTTGTTGTGTACGAGGCCGTGAGCCGTGAGCGAGTTGCGATCTGTATTGGACGCGCGCGCGCGCGCGCGCACATAGTCGCCGATCCGTGTGTTTCTCCAGCAGTCCAGTCGGGCTAGCTAGGGCGACCTGGGGAGCTTGGAGTGACTGGAGGCGCCGTGCGGCAAACGACCGTGAACGGTTCGTACGCGTACAAGACAAGCCGTCGGAGCGGCCCCGATGCGGGTTGCGCGTGCTCGTCTCAGGGCAAATGATGACTTCGATGCTGCCCAGTTTTAACCCGCCTATCGTCAAGCGGCTGCTGGGTTGGAAGAAGGCCGAGAGCGAGGACAAATGGAGCGAGAAGGCCGTTAAGAGCCTGGTGAAGAAGCTCAAGAAGTCCGCGGGCCTCGAGGAGCTCGAGAAGGCCATCACGACGCAGAGCTGCAACACTAAGTGCATCACTATACCAAGGTACACAACATATACCTTTGCCGTTTAATTGTCTTTCTTTGTCCGCTTATATCGTGATACTCGTCATAGTTGCGATGTGATATGATGTGTAGAAAGAGAGATAGGAAAAAGAAGGGAGAGAGAAGTTTGCTGGAACGACGCAGAGAAAGAAGGAGAGGAGAAATCGCGCGAGCGCTCCCTTATATGCGCGTGTGGCGCGTCGCGTCTGCACACACACACATCGCGTGAGACACGGCTTTGTATCTACGTGTGTGACGTTCCTCTTTTACCAATCGCGCCGCATGTTGCGTATATACGTAGGTATATACGTATGCTGAAGATCCTTTCTTCTAAAGAGATCGCAGACTTTTCACTACGCGTGCACACGCGCGCACCTGTGCGAATTCGCGTCATGTGTCCGTGCCGATAACGATAAGAAAACTCACTCGCCGGCATGGCAGTGCGAGGAAAATTCGTACCTATATCTCCGGCGATTATGCGTCAGTATTTCGATGTGATGAGACTTGACGAGACGCGACCAACGACGACGTCACGTTGATACAACGCGGACGACGTGATACAGGTAAACAACTAAATCTCAGGCACGTGCATGCAGGAGACACGTGGCCAAGTCAGAGGCTTTGCTCCGCGAGCAAGCTAGCTAATTAATTCTCGAGAGTGAGATCACGATTTTTTCTTAACTTTAGTTTAAAACAACACAAACAAGCGAACAGACTGTATTCGGTCCAAGCAGCGCGGTTTTCATATCTTATTATTTTATGTAAATTCCTTTTTTTTGTGAAATGAGTTAGTTTTTATATAAAAATGTATAAAGATATAATGTAATGAGAGAGTTTCTAATCTGACGAACAAAATAATCTCATGCCATCATAGAGATAGGTACAAGGCTCAGTGATAGGTAGTTTTTGATAGGGATGTAACGAATATTGGCTTTCGCATATGCGAAAGCGAAACTTTCGCATTATTTTAGACTTTCGCTTTCGTTTTCGCTTTCGCATCTAATTATGCGAATGTTTTAACGAAAGATTTTGTCCGGAATTCGCAGCTTCACCGAGGGCACACTAGATGGTGGGAAAGTAGTTTACATTTCATTCGTTGGTTTGCCAATCTAAATAAGCCAATAAGTAATACTTATTCTTATTAGAATTAGTTATACTTTTATATTATATTCTTAAGTATATAATATAAAAGTATAACTAATTCTTAGAAGAATTTTATTTTATGTTGACTTAATAAAAAGTATATTGAGTTACTTTACTTAGAGTTATAAGAGTCAGTTTATTTTATGTATTTACGAGTTGCAATACGAGATTCAAGAATAAAGCGGGGAGCACAGACTTTTGCATAACGCATAAACCATATACATAAAGAATTTGATTGGTCCACTGACTCATGCACAAGAAAATGGACCAATGAAATTCCTTATGCACATGCTTTATGCGTTATGCAAAAGTGTGTGCTGCGGTCTTTTGAATATATTTTATTTTATTTTTATTTTATATAATTATAATTAATGTATTTTGTATTTTATTTGACCATTTAATTTAAAATAAATAAGTCGTTCATATGCAAATACTAATTTACACATTTGCATTCATCTTTTTCAATCCATCATTCAATAATTTGAATAGGAATTAGCAATATTTTTTAAATATTATATATTATTTTTCGTGACTCCTGTCAGTAATTGTGGCTGATTTAATCATTCAGCAGAAAAAAAAGATCTTTCGCATTCGCATTCGCAAAAAAATTTTTTTTCTTTCGTTTTCGCATTTGCTTTTGCTATAACCACTTTCGTTACATCCCTAGTTTTTGAGCTAATGCCTATGTAGAAGATACTTTGTGAGCAAGCAAATTTTACAACTGATACACCTCATTTAAAAAATTATCCATTATGATATCTTGAAATCTTTTAATATATATATTATAAGCTATATATGTACACACACACACACACACACACACACACACACACACACACACACACACACACACACACACACACACACACACACACACACACACACACACACACACACACTGCCGGAAATTGAAATCTCAACACCATGAAGGAGTTGTGCTAGATGAATGAAAGTTACACAAAATGTTTATTTACATGAGTTATTATTATATATTGATATCTATTGCACACGCACACATGTGCGCGCACGCACGCGCGCACACACACACACACACACACACACCACAAAAAAAAGGTTACAATTCACAGGATACGAGTGTAGCATTACGACGAATCTTGAAAACTCCTGGAAAACGCCTGGAATTTTAGGGCTGACCTTGAATTTTTTATTCTGTGAATTTAAAAAAAATTAGATCGTGAAGAAAAAAAGAAATAAGAATATTTTCTGCTCGTGCGCACGAAAAATTTCTCTAATCTAAAATTTTGAATATAAAAGCATATAATATTGTGCGAATCGATGAAAATTAATCAAGTGATGGAAATTAATCGATGGATATATTCTGGAAAAACTAGGATTTTTTATCTGGAATATTCTGGAATTATCCTTGAATGGATTAGACAGATATCGCTAAACACCCTGAATATAATTAAAGATTCTTTATTATAATATCAACTAAATTAATCTCACGAATTGATGATCAGTTTAATTTCAGAATGTCGATCGTGTAACTTTTTCTAGAGCGGAAACGTAAAAAATAAAGATTTGTATATACATATGTGCTCATACATACAACATACGGAATAACGTTTTCACGTTATTCCGCCCAAAAAAAGAGAGAGAGAAGTTACATTACAGTTGACCTCCTGAGAATCGCCGAGTTGGCGAGTTCCGAATCAACAGAATGGACCGAACCGTCGAAAATGTTTAAATCTGTTCAATTCGTTAGTAAATTGTAACAGCGAGATAATTTCGAACGCATTCTGTAATTCGCTGTATTCACCGTAAATTATTATACAATACAACTTTGTTGTATGTGCTTTATTTATGCGAGAGTAGTGCATTCTTGCTAATCATCAGTATAGGCTTGGTGGATAGTTTCTTTTGCACACAATTGTTTGTTGTATATATTTGTAGATTGTATTTGTAATCGAGGTGAGGACTTATCTCGCTTATTGTGACGTAAGTGCGATCGCCTTAGCTTGCATTTAAAAAAACTTGAAATGCGATTGTTGCACTGCTCGTTTATTACGCCGCGTGCAGGGCGGGAAGATACTCGTCGATTTCTCGCAAAAAGTGCAGTAAAACCGTGAACGGATTAGAGATTGAAATCTAATTGAAATTTAACTAATCAAAGCAAAGTTCACACTAATTGGTTTTCTTTCTTCTGATGATGGCAGGTTAAATTTTAGTCCAATTTTAATTTTGATCACGGCTTTTAATGAATGCGTATGTAAAAAGAACGAAACGCTGTCGCTCGAAATTCTAAAATACGATATATGCCTGTGTAATCTTTGACCTATAGTAAACGATTTATCGGCGATTTCCCCCGGTTGTCTATCCGGCTGATCATTTTAATATCTGAGTCAATCTCTCACGATGCTTGACCGAAAGACAAAGTCGATCAACCATGTTCGTTTCGAGCGATGAGAGCTAGAGTATCGACGTATAAACTTGATAAAAGACGAATCATGTCTTATTCGCTTTTATCTCGTCTTGATGTAGAATCAATTGCGACCATTAAATAGTCGCAATGCCGAAGACATTTTCTAATTGGTCTATCGCAAATGTATTCGTACTCGTTCATACATACGTGCGTATACACAATAGAATACACGTTGTGATTCCACGCGGAAACAAGTAGGTATTTTAAAATGTTTTACGAAAAAGAGAGTACAAAAAAATTTAGCTATTATATAAATACAGATCCGAAAATAATCTTATTGAACTGTGAAAATAATTATATAGGACGCTCAAGCTGGTTGCTAGAATGTTAAAATCTTTTGCAGTATTATGCTGCTTGTGTTTTCTATTGCAGTTTTGATGATCTAGGAAATTATTTATTTCATATTAGAGATCTGTATATAATAATAATATTAAATAGCTAGCTAATTTTTTTTAGATATTTAAGTAAAATCGTTCTTTCTGTGCAAATTCGCCTAAACCTTTTTTCTTACCTGTTATTATTTTATTATATTATATTATAAAGAAAACATGGCAAAGCTCCATTGAAGGAAAAACGAGTGATTGTTGTATAAGTGATATGCTGCAAGCAATTATCCGTGATAAGAATCTCCTTGATACAAAATGTGAAAATTGAAAAAATGAGAAAGGATATGTACCTTCTTGCAATCGTTTGTTGCTCGATCAAATTCTCACCAAGGAAAGATAGACTTTCAGACTCTTCTTATAAAAATCGTTATTTTATCTTATAAAAATAAGCTTTGTGAGAGGATCCCATTAGCACAGGACTCGACTGTTACGTCGAATGAATGACATTCCTTATTTCCTCCCGAAAGCACCCCGTTATTCAAATATAAATAACACCAAATTTCTGTAATGTTTTACGACGGAAAAAAAAGTAAAAAGAAACGTTTGCGGTTTTCTAGAAACTTTTCATGAAATGTATATGTGTAATTTCTATATGAATGACGCGGCAGTCAATGTATAGACGAATCGATCGCGTCAAAATTCTGAAAATGGGACGCCAACATGATATATGTATATGTATAATAGAAGTCTAAGTACCTCGGATACATTGCGAGGGACACCCACATACGTGACGACTCACATGTTTCGTGTCGTGAACACGTGACGATAAGAGTAAGCGAACGCGGGTACATTACATTGTTCGAAAACGACGGGGCATATAAACGAAGTTCTCTGTATGTTTCACACATCACGAGACAAATAGCAATTAATTCACGCGGTGCGGCTGTTCCAATTTCGCGCGCGCGTGCCTGTCTACGTGCGTGCGCTCGCGACTTTTCCGCAGAAAAAGTTAATAAGAAATAGGCAAACAGACGGAAAAAAATAATTTACAAAGAACGCCATTTCCTTCTTTGATAACTCAACAACCTT